AATTGACTCGTCGGCTCCTTCTTATACCTGGTTACATCGTTTCGAGGATATATAAAAAACGCAGAAGGGGGCACGTCGTAGTTATACCTCTCGTTGATAGCTGGTGACCTCCCATATACCCACACACCGCGCCTGATTTAGTGCGCGACCGTCGCTAAATCGCGCGATAACTCAAATTTTTTAATGCCTTCATAGAAAATCGGAATGTATAGAAATACACAATCCCCGATTTTTATCAGTCCCCGTGAGATTTTAGCCTTTGGGAGGGAACGCTTGGCTTTAACCCCCGAAGAAGAGGACCACCATCAAGTCGCCGGGTCATATCCAGAGGGCCGTGCGCGTCTTCTGGTCGGGTAACGATTCAGTCAAGGTAGGCGCTGTTCGCGTACAGCTCTAGTGGAGTTATGATAATGGGACATAGGGCGGGCCGAACGGTTAAAACAAATGCCAGACGGCGCCACCGTAGCCTACTAAGATAAATGGTCCGATCGGGATCGCCGGACCTGCCGTATAGACTATCGTTTTATTATTTTTTTTTTTGGTTCGTTCTTCTTCTGCTTGTTCTTCTTCGTCCTTCTCTTCCCTATCCCGAGAGCGTTATTTATTGGAAAGTTCACAAAGCGACCGGCGTTTTGTCTCTATATTCGAGGAATGCGTGTTATACATTCGATTTTCTTGTTTAATTAATTGAGAGGCGATTAGAGCGAGAGAGAGATGCGAAGAGTGCGTTGGGTTTCGAATCGAAATGCGTCTGGATGATAAAAATCTTTTCTTCTTCGAAATTACGGATAGTTTTTGTTTGTATTACATACCTAATAATAGAAATAAAATTGGTGGAAACGAACGATGTATCTACTTTATCAAATTACCCCAAAAATACACACTAACAAATTCCAAAAAAAAAAAAACTTTTTTTATTCGAGAAACTAAATTTCGCCCTGTGAGAAGCGGGCATTCGGGTAATAAAGAATTTACGCGGAAAATACCTTTACGTGGAAAAATGCGTTGTTTGTAGTTTCGAAAATAGAAATACGAATTAGAGCGGACTTTCCCTATTTTTCCGCCGGGCGCGTTCGCTCGAGGCACGAAAGAAAATTGTATAGGAAAGTGTTGTTTCCGGACAGTTTCGAAGTAATTCGGAGAAAACTCCAGAAAAAGAAGCGAACACGAGACGATGAAAATTATAGTATTTACTTCCGAGCTCAACTCGACGATATAATCGGTCAAGTATCCTGAAAAAATAAATAATTTACTAATAAATAACTGTAGATATAATTAATTCACGTGGATAACAGCGCTAGTACCGATTGCTAATTCATCGTAATCGATTATTCCGCTTATCGATTGTCGCTTTAAGTATACCTTTCCGATTTTATAGCTCTTCGAAATTTTCGACAATTAACCGTCAAACGGCCAATAAAACAACAATTAAAACCTCCAACAATCGCGCCGGTGCGTTAGATAACGCTAATTGGTCTAATATCCCGTACAAACCGGCTATACGAATATGCATATACGCAGTAGGCCGAGAGCGGCAATTAAAATCGAAAAATCGGGAAGATCAGAGAGTTGGCCATGGCGGCCACCGCGATGTCACAGAGTAATAATTGTACCGATTAAGCGGATCCAGGACCTACCGCGACGTTGGGCGCTCTTCTCTTCGTGAGACCCGACCTCGACGAGGTCAAAAGGTTGTTAAATGTTGGGATGAGTTAATACGAGCGTTTGCGAATTATGCATTTATGCAAGATTGGTCGGGTTTATTTAGCCCGTTATAGATGCGGAATTTTATTGCGATGCAATAATTAGAGAAATATTGCATGATGCGTGTGCGACAAGGACAACTTGCATTTGGCTCATCATGTGAAGGGAAAAGAAACAGTTGGCTGTGGTAAACGAGAGGAAAAATAGCTGTCAGCTGTCAAAAGACAACTAAAACTCCGCTTACCAAGTAAAGGTATTCAACCACACTTCGTATGGAAAAATAATGTATAAACATTGTAAAAGTCAATAATTCCATAAATTATACCAATATTGCCTGATTGCCAAGAGCAAGACAAAAGGCAATATTAAAAAAAATGTGCTGGCTAAATGCACTGGAATGCAAGTCATAAAAAAAGAAGAAAAACTAAAACTCCGCCATTTTGGTTTTAAAAAATCCAAATTATTATATTTGTTTGTGACAATTGTGCTATATTTTAAGTAAGGATTTAAGCCTATATTACTTTTGTTTATCAAGGAGTAGATAAGGAATTTGGGATCAACATTATGGTGAATTGAAATCAACGTAACCTCATATCGCGGGATTGCAACTTTCTCACTTTAAACACTCTAACTTACTCTAACTTTTGTTCAACCAATAAAGCAGGATATCTACTCTTTTTGTTGAATACTCGACAGTACCTCTATTTCTATACATTAGAATTGGTCGTTTGATAAATTGCGTGGGTGTTTTCAAAATTCCGCATGCGACATCGTATCCCCTTAATGGGGTCCATTTGTGTAATTTCGTCGACGAAATTTAATTGTACGTACAGTATGTTGATGTCCATTGTTTACAAACAGTGGTCATGCGTCGTTAAGTATCGCTCTAAATGCACGGTCGTTAGTCTGTCCCGTTTTCGGGGAGTTGATGGGATATACACGGCTAAAGTGCATTCCCAATAATCGCCCATTCCCGTTCCCCGTTCACCCCGCGGACGAAGGAGGACGCCCTTTATAGTTTATATAATAAACGCATCTGTATAATGTAGGTGAAATGGAAAATGCGAGAGCTCGTTAGGTGTTTGTTTGTGCGAATTGTTTGCTTTGTTTCGCCGGCAAAATTGCAATAATTAACAGAATGATGATAATATATGGAAATTTAGATTGCGTAAAATATGCTAGTAGAATTATGTGAGATAGGAGTTATGCTATGTTAAATGTGCATTGTATTTTGCTGGGTATTTAGGTATGTATTCGTATAACGAATGCTGACCAATATAGTGGTATTGTACTATATCTATAGTGATTTGAAAGCATTAGTCTAGTGACTATAAAAGAATCATCAAAAAAACATCAATAAAAATTCTAAATTTCCCGTAAAAAAACCTTCAAAAAGCAAATAAAAATCATTAGAATCCCAGAAAATCCCTCTTAAACTATACCCAAAATCATACAAAAATTTGAAGAAAAACCCAAAATTATATCAAACTCTACAGGTAGATACAAAATTATATCTACTATCAAAATTGATTAGCCTCATATAAATGAGAAAGAAAGTGATATTGTGAGATTGCAACTTTCTTTCTCTAACCACTGTTATTTTGATATTCTTTCTTTGTTGAACTCATAGATTTGTGTACAGCACACTTTATAATTTCAACGAATAATGTCGGTGAAAACATCTTTTAACTAGGATTTCAAAACACCTAATTTCGATTATTCCGACACGTTCTAACACTAAAACAAAAATTCCGCGTAGAAACCGGTAGCTTTCCACGAAACGATTACGGACGCTTTAAATTCACGTCATTTTGATTGCGCCCGTTGATTTTAAACTAAGACCTTATAACAGTGAATATGCCGCCTTTTATGTCGCTCATACGTGATATGGATAATGTGTTAAAAACTCTGTTATTTCGATCCCTTTTTTCATCGTTAACTAGAATATCGTAATCGACGCGAGTACGAGAAAACCCGCTCGCGACGCGATTACAAATCAGTTTATATATTTTTTGGAAATTACCAAAATATTGCACCGAAGCTTGTCAGTTGTTAGCCCCGCTCTGAAACAAACAAGCAACGGTAATTGATCGTAAATAAAAAATTGATGGAAGGAAAGTGATTTGCTTAAATAGGTCCCTTCTCGGTATGGCCTCTGGTTGGATTTTTTTCGGTTTTTATCGCCGCATTCGGCGGAATGTAAAACATTTGATCGGTGGCGCCAGGTTTGCGTCAGCGGCGCGCCGGTCGAAAATAAATTAAAACTTCAATAACGGATTGCCGTAAAAAACGCCAACGAATAAAAAGTCGATTCGACTTCACGAGTGCATCAAGGCGCTCGGAGAAAAGGGGAGTTTTCCGAAGAATAAAAAAGAAATGTTTAACCGATCACATCGATACTCGCAATCGACAATAACAAGACGTAATGTTTATTAAATGAGCGCATAATTCCACCCGAGGTCTGAGCGCTTAACTAACCCCTCTGGTGAGGTCTGTTATTACCGAACCACATGGTGAATTACGAAACAGCTACGTGAATACAGGGCAATAGTAAAAAAACAGCGTACGTTTCTAAGGAAATTGAATTATTGAACGGATTGGTATGTGTTTACAAAGCTATGCCCTCTCCTAGAACGTGTAATTTTACGTTGTTGCTTTATTCTTTCCGATACATATGCTTTATTTATTTTAACGGTTCGCATTCCGAACCTGCATTGATCTAATCTAATCGCAACGATTTGCTGCATGATGGATAAAATTCCTTTGAAGGACCAAATCTCGGTTAATGCGAGAATTCTATTTAGTTTTTATTTAGCTCTTGAATTCTTTAAAATAGAGTTTTACTCAGAAACTTGTATAAACGAGATAGGTCTATAAATTTTGAATTATTCGTTCGTTACAACATTGAGGGTTAAAAACTGATAATTTATATCTTTTTTCACAAAACTAAAGTAACAATATTATACAGCTACAAATAAATGGTTTTATATGCAAAACAAAATAAGTAATCGAACCTTTAGATAGGCAACCCAACATACAATTAAATGATACAATCATGATGTAATTTGTGTTGCCTACTACACAGATCTGATTCTAAATTCTAATAAAAAGTATTTATTTGTCTACGTATATAAAAGCAATAGAGAACTAATTAATTCGCGATAAATAAACAATCTAATTTTGCACAATTAATAGAAAAAAACAGTTAATAAAATCCATTATTCAACAAAAAAACGTAATGGAGTAGATACTCATGAGAACACGAAACGCGAATAGACGCCAAGCCAAACTGTCAAGTCAACTGTCATTCCATCGAAAATGTCTAAAGTCTAAAAAATATTTCAAAAATTTGGCTACTAAAATTTTCGTTTCAACTACGATCAATCGTCGAAATAAACAAGGAAACAGTTTTACCAGAATCTCCAGACAACTCGCATCGATCCAAATGTTTCTAAATTATAGAAAAATTCCGACATTTACACAATAACATCCACAGACGTTTGGTGCATTGAAAATGTAAAATGGAATTGGTTTCGATATCGCTTCGTTACAATTTCCTATCGGCCGCATCTAAATTGTTCCTAGCACACAGGAATTACGCTAGGTAAGTAAACGGAACATTCTAGTAGAGGTTAGCAAGGTATTTTCGTTTCCAGGCTAGCTGAAGTGGGTAGATTGGAAACCCCAAAGGTTTCGGGTAAATATGAAACTGGACAGCTAATACTGCACAGGGTGTTCGGTTACCGGGGCGTCGTTCTGTTCCCCTGGCTGGCCAGAGTCTACGACAGAGATCTTCCCAATCGCAGAGAGGGCGAAGAGAGCCAAGCAACTGGAGCTGGGAAAGAAGTACGGGGGCGTACCCACACGTTTTACCAAGTTCTGATCGATCAAAGGGATTGCCCTTACATTGTAAGACGATTCAAGCTTTATACAATCCTCAGGTTTATTATATTTAGTGTTTTTTAGAGGGCTCAAACCGAGGCGGTTACGTTCCTCGGGAACCAAGACTCGTCCCGAAGCTTGTACGCTATACCGGGTTTGGATTATGTAGCTCACGAAGACATTATACCCTACGTTAGCGCCGAAAAGAGCCCTTTGAATCACGAATTATTCGACAAATTTTTAACTCCAAACACCAAAGGAGGTCAATATTTTATCTACTAACTTATAGTAACTTCTCGATTGACTCGCTATGAATTTTAGATCCTCCATTTACTGCTCAAGAAACGTTGAAAGCCTGGCAGAACAAAAACCACCCGTGGCTCGAGCTCTCCGATGTACACAAAGAAACAACGGAAAATATTAGAGTGACGGTCATCCCGTTTTACATGGGATGTAGGGAATCACATGCCAATTCCGTCTACTGGGTAAGATCACTTCGATGTAATATAAATACACCGCTTTAGTAACATATCGAAACGTTTTCTAGTGGAGATACTGCATACGCTTAGAAAATTTGGGTTCGCTGAGCGTCCAGCTGAGGGAGAGGCACTGGAGGATATTCTCTCTATCCGGAACGCTGGAAACTGTAAGAGGAAGAGGCGTTGTGGGTCAGGAGCCGGCTCTAACGAGAGCTTTGCCGGCTTTTCAGTACAGCAGTCACGTCAGTCTGCAAGCGCCTAGCGGTCATATGTGGTAACTATTAATAGTAGTGGTAATTGTGTGAAGATTCTAGGGTGATTGTTTTAGGGGCACTTTTCGAATGGAAAGGGAAGATGGCTACACTTTCGACTGCAGAATACCGCCGTTTTCTTTAGAAAGTAAACCCGAAAGCGGATCTGCGTCCCCTCCGGAATCTATTTAATTTTAATACCCCGAGATATGTAGGAATTTATGAGTTTCCAGGACTTTTTTTTGTTTTTTATTAGTAATAAAGTTGCTTAATTCGACTGTACTTTTAAATGCTTCGGACTTGGATTTATACTAACTTGACTAACAGTTTACAAATTTGATGCTTCTACCATTATTCTTTATGTTAACTATTTTATATACCTAAATTTCGAAATATTCGTATTTTTTAACCATATATTGTTAACATTTTCCGGCAATTATTGTCTCATAAATTCCTACCTATTTAAATAAAAATTAACCATGTACATACAGTTATTTAGTATGCAAAAATGTATGGAATATAAGAATTTTTATATCGAAAAAATTCGTCGGGTAAGATTTCGAGAATGTATGTTGTTTTGCAAACAGCTCCTGCGGTTCTATTAAACTAGAATGCTTTTATTAAAACAAATATAAATTAGAAATCACACAAAAAAAGTATAATAATAGCTCGCATCAAATTAATAGATATTGATCGATTGCATTGAAATTAACTAATAGATATTCAATAGGTAACGATTTTGTTCAACAACGAAATTAAAAAAAAAAAAAAGAAAAATCTCCACAAACGGGATTATTACATTCACACAAAATTATCGATCTTGCGCTAAACATTTCCAAAATATCCAATCTACAATATGATTCATCTTATCTATTAAAACTACTGAAACCCAGTCCCACGCCTCTCATAGTGTGAGTCGTCGTCCTGGCCACTTCGTATTGTTGTTCCATAGCGCTAAACATTTCGTCCTGCTTTCTCAGCGCCTCGTTGGCCGAATTCTCCCCGTCCCCCGGCGCTCTGATGCCCATCAACCTCTTGAACTTATTCGCCACTTTGCCTAAAAAGAAAACAATGTACTTCGATCGATAACGAACTCGGCAAATTCGCTCGAGTATAAGAATTACCGTCGGTGTCTTGTGCGAAGGTGGTATTCTGCCAAATTTTCGTAGATTTTGGGGCGTGCGGATTCTGCGCAGAAGTAGCAGGCGCCCCGCTAGTCGCGGGCGCCGGATTTTCACCGGGTTCTTTCTTCTGCCACAGCAATTTACGCTTTTCTATTTGATCCCTGAACCGACCGGTGATGCCCGGCATGAAGAATCTATCTTTATTTTGACTGTCCTCGCTTTGCACCGCTTCCGTTGCAACGTTGCCCTGTCTTTGATCTGAAAAAGTATCACTATACAGGGTGTCCCGTACTAGCATAAACCTGCATACCATTATTTCTGTTGCCTCTGTCGAACCTTCTCTGAAATCCTCCTCTGTTAGGCCTCTCTTTCGATCGAGACCTCGATTTCTTGGGAGATCTGCTCCGTCTCCTTTCCCTGTTGTCTCTAGGTGATCTACTTCTTCTTCTGTCCCTGTCTTGCCTATGTCTATCGTCTCGATTGTTGTACCTTCGTAAATCAAATATGTACTATTTATATTTATTAATAAACTTTTAATTACTAACCGATCTCGCGATCGAGCTCTTCTATCGTCTCTTCTCGCGTCCCTTCTATCCTCGTCGCGATCCCTGTGTCTTTTATCCTCGTCCCTACTTTTACCTCTTTCATCTTTTTCATCTCTATTCCTCGTTCTATCCTCTTCCCTATCTCTCCTGTAACACAACCGATGTCAATATCGATCGATTTTAATTAGGAATTTTAATGTATCACCTGTTTCTATCATCGTTTCGATCTCTCCCACTGTATCTATCCCTCTCCGATCTATCGTCTCGCCGATCTCTTTGCGCCGAGTCCTTGGAATCCCTGTTTTTGGGACTACTCCTTTGGTCCTCGCGGTCCCGCCGGGATTTCGCGGCCTGCTTGGATTCAGCGTCGGAGTCCTGGGGGAAAAAGTCTCTCTTACCTATTGCTGGATTTGCCAAATCATCTAACGAACAGGATAACAATGAATGTTCGGTATCGATACATTTGATAGTTGATAAATAAGAGTGCCTTATTTGTAAATCAATTTTTATCTTTTTTTTTGAAAGTTAATCTAATTTTAAACGTATCTAAGTTAAAATAGCAAAACGGTGGATTGAAACGTATATACTTTGGTATAAATAAATTTACCTGTATTCTCGAAATCGGTAAAAAATTACTATCACCTTCCCTTAATTGGTACTCACCAAATAAAATGAGTTGTAGATGTTCACAATTCGCTTTTCAGTGTTGAGAGGCTCAGGTTACAAGTTCTTTATAATATATTAACAGAGTGAGTTAATATCAAAAGTTCCAAACAACAGTTTATGGTAAAATATTTCAATACGAAACGTGTACTTTAAATTGTAGCTTTTGGGTTTCAATAATAAAAGAATTTACATTTATTAATGAAGTAAATGAGTTACAAGAAACCCAAAAGCTTTTAACATGTTAAAAGCCCGTTAAACAAAATTTGTACATAGCTGTTGAACTAAATAATTGTTAAAAGTGCAGCTGCACGTTTGTACAATTATTTAAGTGAATTTGTACGAAAAAATGGATTTATTTGAACAAATTTTTATGAATTACCTCACTAAGACTCATCTGGACTTCATCGTAGTTGGTGTCATTGGGTGGTGTGGTCCCCGACGATTTTCTGAGGCTTCTCCCATGGGAATCCTGTCAAGAATTGTTGGTGATGATCGTACTATTTTTTGGCAAATAAATAATTAGTATACAACAAATAACAGAGATTTCTAACTAGCATTTTTTCGATTAAAATGTGCAACATCAAGAGCTGTAATTTATCATACTTTGAAATGTAATCAAATAGATTTAAAAAAAGTTCAGAAAGGGATACGAATTAATTAAAATATTGCATGTCCAAGTATGTTGTAATCAATACAAATACAAACCAACATGGATACTAAACAAAAAGGACATTAAGGACAATAAGGACGAATTACTTCATACGTACCACAGTTCTTTCTTCTGGAGAATCGTCCAAATCGTCATCACTTCCATAACTCATTAGCGAATTCATTTTTGCTAATGTTCACTAAATATATTTGCTAAATTTTAATCGAATGCAATAATCACAAGTTAAAATTACCAAAAGCAAACTCCATTTTACTCAAATGTCAACTGTCAATTAAGTCAACGTCAAAATGTGTTTACTTCTTTTTTTCGAGGTCTAATATTAGTAGGACAATTTTAATTGTATATTAGGTACAGTTAACGTTTTGAACACATATTATTTATACTAGAAAATATAAATAATGCAAAAAATAAAAATGAGAGCGAGAAACATAATTTATTATAAGGATTAAAATAGAAATATATATATTTTTTCAGTTTATCTAAAATATGCCTAAGATGTCAATGTCAAAGCAAATCAATTTTGAATTTGACATTACAATTGTCAAATCGAAATGAAACGTCAAAAGTTGCAGTTTTAATGCAGATAAAAATAATTCCAATAAATTTATTATTTAACCAAAGATGAACAAATTTCCGAATCTCATTATATAACGTCAGTATTATAAGACTGAATTTTACCATTTTAGTTCGCAAATAATCACCCCGTAACGATGATCAGCAGCACAAACTTCTCCGAAATCGTCGACTACAAAAACTTCAGGATCCAAGAAGTAATGACAGAAAACGTCGAACTCCAACAACTAGTCGACGACGACGTCGACGACGAGTTCAGGATCCGCGATCCCCAACCGCACTGCCGCTGCCCCTACTTGGGCCTCCTCCTGGCCACCCTCAGTTCGCTGTTCTTCTCCCTGTGCTCCGTAATCGTGAAGTGGATGACCGACGTGCACCCCATGGCCCTGGCCGCCTACCGCTTCCTCGGAGTCCTCCTGCCGGCCATCCCGATAGTGATATACCGAGAGGAAAAGGTGTTTCCGAAGGGGAAACGCATCATGCTACTCTTGAGATCATTCACCGGCACTGTATCGTTGATGTTGAGTTTCTACGCTTTCCGCCACATGCCTCTAGCCGACGCCTCCGTCATAGTATTCTCCGTGCCCGTATTCACCGGCATATTCGCTCGAATGTTCCTGAAAGAACCCTGCGGCTTGTTCAACGTATTCTCCGTGCTACTCACCCTCATAGGAGTAGTGTTAATAACGAGGCCGCCTTTGTTGTTCGGTAACACCGTAAACCCGCTCGGTGAAACTGGCCAGAAGACTGAAATGTGGGGGGCCGTTGCGGCGTTTTCGGCCACCCTATTCGGTGCTAACGCTTACGTTCTGTTGAGGGCTTTGAAAGGAATCCACTTCGCTGTGGTAATGACGAATTTCGGATCGTTCGCTTTCGTCCAGTGTCTTCTAGTTACCGTGTTGTTGGGGGCGCTGTGCCTGCCCCCTTGCGGCTTAGATAGGTATCTCATCGTGGCGCTGGCTGTGTTCAGTTTTCTGGGGCAAATCCTGCTGACGTTGGCGCTGCAAATGGAGCAGGCCGGGCCCGTTGCCATCGCTCGGAGCAGCGATATTGTATTCGCCTTCGTGTGGCAGGTGATGTTCTTCAACGAGGTACCTAATATGTTCTCCGTCGGAGGGGCCGTGTTGGTGTTGAGTTCTGTTCTGTTGATTGCGCTCAGAAAGTGGGTTCTGGCTTTACCGTACGATGCTGATCTGAGGAGGAAGCTGCATTTTTTGACTAAATAATTTTCGTTGAATTAAGTCGTTCGGGTGTCATTGCGAGGAAAATACAGATAAGTGCAAATTTGTATGCAATTTCGTCTGTGGGTGCAACAAAGAAAACTTTCAATAATCGCATATAAAAGAAAAAGAAAGGGTGTTATTGTAGGATTTCTACTTTCTCACTCTAACCACTGGTATTTTAATAACGTTTCTTTGTTCTACTCATACTTACTATATTGCAAACAAAATTGCACTTACCCATATTGTAACAAATTTACAAATTTATAAATTTTTTCATGTACCTATTTATGATTCTAGTCAAGTCGTTTTAAGTTAATTATTTTAATCAGTATTAGCACATTATTTAATTTTACGAATATTCCTTTATTGACTGTTATATTTTATCGGTGTGTTGAATAATTTGTAGTAATTAGAAGCACTAGATCAAAAAAGTTTAGTTGTATTATACCAAAAATCTCAGAGAAATGGACCAAATAAGTGTTGTTAAATGTTACCTAATTTATTTATTTATTTATTTTTAATGTACTAACTTAAATAATGTGAACCCTGAATGTTTTTGCGTTCGTTAATTCGTTAATTTATTTCCTCTTGTCCGTAATTACTATTTAATAATATTGTATTCCTAAATATTATACCTATAACCCAAAATTTATTAAAAACTATGAAGCACATGGAGTCTTACTTATTATGCTTTAATCGTTTTAAAAATCCGAATAAAATATTCTACAGGTATATGCAAAATTGTTTGCAATATAAACTACGAGTGCAACAAAGACAACTTCCATTAGTCTCGTATAAAGGAAAAAGAAAGTGTGATATTTTGATATTGCAACTTTCTCAGTTTACCATTGTTATTTTAATAATCTCTCTTTGTTCAACTAGCAGAATTGAACCATATGCATCTAAGAAAGTCTCTAGAAAAAGTAGAAAAATTACTAAAGAGAATTCTCACGACGAATAATGTTATTTTGTTATTAATTTTCATAATTAACACACCTCAATTTACCTAAAAATATTCGAAATCCTCAATTTATCTACACCGCAATTGATGAATTTTTGTATCCGTAAAATCGAAATATTTAATTTCGTTATTAAACAACATTCGTTACGATTTCATACGGATTAATTCCGTTTTGATTATAATAAATCTACTCAACCGTTGAAAGAATGATTAAAATTACAATTAAAATCGATAACGAATAATAATAAGTGCGATAACACAACAGAAAAGAATCGAGATGGCCGGTGGAACAATTGCGGGTGGTCCGAGATTCTCGAAATTACAATGATGATGCACAAACACCAAAGACAATTTCTTTTTCTCCGGCGTTAATTCCACGATTTCCACAGCAGTTTACGAGTGGAAATTACAAGGACCGGTTTTCGACGCAACGAAAATTAAATTAAATCGTTTGATTAGTAAAGGAATGGAAATTAAACGGCCCAACTGGAACCGCTTCTGTTTCCACAGTAGTTTAAACTAAACATTACTAGACTGGCTTTTTATGACTTTTGATTGTCCAAGATTGCTCGTCTGCCACATAATCGTTGGATGATTAATAAAAAAAAACTTTACGCTCAATCTTTCGAATTAGACCGATAATATTTCAGAGAGGATGGATATCATAGTGGGTGTGAATATTATTTTTTGTATGTGGGCTGTTGGTTTTTTTAATAACACCACTAATTGCCACAAATTGGGCTGTAATTCTAACGAGAAAGAGGCACCTCTATGCACCATTAGCAACGAATCGCATCGATCAAACAAGCGTCGAACGTAAATATCAAGTGTTTGTGTCGAGCCTTCGGTGTCAAGAAATTTTGAGCAAGAAAAAGCAACCAGCGAACCAAAATGGAGCTATCGGAAAAATCCCAGTCGCGAAAAACCGACGGTCCTTTGATCGATTTCGACGAATACGACATGCCCGAAGACACCAAGAAGTACTTACAGTCACTGAACATAGCCGATTCCATATCATTCCCCACCAGCAGCAGCGCGGAGAACCTCAAAAACGTCCCATCAACGTCCAAAATCTCCATGATCAGCGACACCCAAACCACGCAGAACTTCCTCAAGGAGTTCGAGGCCTTCTACAGCGACATGATGGGCAAAGTGAAGGGCCTCAAGTCCGTCCCGGCGCTGAAGAAACCCCACTACAAGGACGCCGACTCCATGGACGGCACCAAGCTGATGAAAAACCTGAAGAACTCGCCCGAAATCCAGGAGCAATTGGACGCCATCAAGCAGCTGGACGACGACATTCAATCGGTGATCACCGAATACCAAAGCGAAAAATCGGACAGGCTGGACACCCAACTGGAAATGTGCAACGAAATCGCGCACGGCAACAAACAACCCGACAGGGACGCCGAACTGTTCCTCAATCTCTGCCAATTCGAGTTCTCCGACAACAAAAAGGACGACAACAAAGAGGACCAGCCGGTGGAATCGCCGGATAAAACCAAAAAGAAACCCAAAACAGCCGCCAAACAACAAGATTTCGTCCTAAGAAACATCTATCTGGCCAAACGCGGCGGGTATACTCACTCATCTCTAACCGACGAAGAAAAAGTCAAGCTCGAAGATATCCTTCAATACGACGAAGAAAACAACCAGAAACGACAACAAAAGTCTCCTTTCACGCTCACCAACAGCCACAACGAACCCAGCAAGTACTTCTCCAACGCTTACCTGTTTTCGGAGGAAGACCGGAAGAAAATCGACGACATCGATACCGAGTTGGAGAAGTTTAAATTAGACGAAGCCGCTAGCGAGAAAAATCAGTCGGCTCGCTCCGAAGATAGCACGGAAAGCGTCGAAGCATTCAGAAAATTGAACAAGAAAATGCTGAAAAACAAACTGAAGATGCTGGAAGTTCGGTTGAAAGAGCTGAAAGAAGCCGAAGATAGAGATTTAAAAAAGCTGAATAAAATACAAAGTCCATCCGCGGTAGACGTGGATGATGAAAACATCGAAGATTTTCCTCCTATATGCAGTTTGTTCGATGACGAAGAGAACAAAGAAGATGCTGAACAATCGACAGAAGAAGTTAACGATTCGGATGATGATGAGGAAGTCGATGATGAGGAACTCGACGATGACGATTGTAAGCCTGCTAATAAATTTGATGGTACATGTGATGATAAGTCTGATGATTGTAAGCCTGATGATAAATTTGATGGTACATGTGATGATAAGTCCGATGAAGAGTCCTTCGGTTTGGAGGACGAGGAATATCATTTCGAGATGGTCGATGATGATGACGATTTTGATGATGATGAGGTCTATTCGAGTAACAACCTTACTTGAGCGAGGAAATGCGTATTAATTTAAATTTTTTGTATGTTAATTTATCGTATTTTATAACGTATAAACTTATTTTTTTTATAATACTCATAAAATTGGATTTGCCACAAGTTTAAAAATTTCCTGTTTAGTCTAGCTCTAGGCGCACCTATCGTACGCGTTTTCGAATACGAAATAAAATTATTTAACACTATAGTTAATTAGTTTTTGAATAAGCTTCCGGTGATTCAAATAACTTTTTGTCGTTGCATTGTGAAAAAATACCATCTTCACGTAAATTAGTTTCTGATAGTCGCCCAGACGAACGGTCGACGTGATGCCCATGGGCCCCCGAAACTTTCAAGTACTAAATACAGGAACGGACTCACGAAAAAAACACTCAAAAAAAATTAGGGAGTTAGAAATTTCCTTCGAAATACAAAATTTTAATACTGAAAATCGTAGCGAAATGCTGCATAAAATTCAACAGAATTATATGTTTTTGGGGCACTAAAATTTGTGTTATTTTTTCTTCTATGACATCCAATGCTTCATCAACTCATCTTCTTCAATCTTTGCTATTTAATAATTGATTTAATCCGCCCCTGTAATTCAACATCGACTAAGTACTGGCGCGAGTACTATTCGTTTGGTCGAGCCGAAAAGGTCCCCAGTGTATATGCCGCTGCTCGGAAAAAAGGTAGCTAAATTATATTTTTGATTTACTTTTTTTTATTTTGTTAGTATTTTCATTCATCTTTCAGATCATTAATTTCCTCGGGTGTGTATCAGGTAGCTGGTGGATTTTAAATTAATTGTGAAGGAGCACTTTTATTTCGAACACCCGCTGCAGCGGCCTCATTTGACTCGAGAGAGCCACTTCTCTTGTCGCTTTTTTTTTTAATTTAGAAGTTTCCCCAGCGGCGTACAAGCCCTAATATACTTACCAAAAAAATGCTCATTGAGTACCTTAAGTTAGCAGAGGTCTTAAATTTTCTTTGGCTGAAAAACAGCAATAACAAAGACCCTACTTCAAGAGAACAAAAAGATAATCTTGATTAGATAATATCTGGTGTTTTACACAGTGTGTAACGCCACTGTTTCCGTGATAGAGACGGATGAAATTCGTTTATTTGCCTTCTCGGAAAAATTACAATGATGAACGAGCTTGCTGAGAAATAACACCTATGCTCATCATGAACTCGTAAAACTTTAATGAATGGAAATATTTTTTGCTACAAGCGCTAGAATTTCCCGGCGAAATGGTAAATGACGCTGCCGCACAAGTAAAAGTTCGTGAAAAGTCCGATTTCGAAGACGGGTATTCTCCATATGGTTTTGAAGACTGTGTAGAGTATTGTGTAGACTATCCTGGATAGGACGTAGACTCGTATTATCCATTTGGTGGGCTCTACCGACGGGTCGGTGAGCAAGTACAGGAAACTGATAGCGATGAAAAATGGTATATTTTCCAAATCGTTCAAATGCGCCCTAAAAAAACGATAATATAAGATTATGAAACGTTTTCTATCTAGCATATTTTACCTTCGAATTCTCTCTACATTTTCGTTAGTATAAACCTTCACGTTCATTATTGCTCCATCTTCAGGATTTCTTGGAGCCTAATGAGTTTTAAGCAGCTTAAAAATAAATAATTTAACAGGCAAATTAAGAACTTACCTTGTAATAAACTCTACTTAAACCGACGTGAGGGATCATAAGGAAGCATTTCAATAGTAAAATTCCCACGTATAGAGCATAACATTCCAACAAATCTTGATTTATCCACAAAAACACTTTCTCGTCAACCATGATTAAACACACCAATATTACTACTAAAATAAAATATACAACAGTATGGTAAACAAATATCGTTGCCTTATAGCCTTGGTAATATTGAGTTGACCATAAGAACCAGTTTTTTTTACATTTTTAATTTCATTTCAGGCACATGCGTTGCATATATTTATTCCCAATTAAAAAAAATGTTGAGGTGTTAATGAAGATGATTGTTAATGATTTTATTTTTCTCTATATACAAGGTATTTTCGGAACTGTGCTAACAAATTTTATATTTAATTTACTGTTCCTTAATTTATCAGTGTGTAGGTACTTAAGAAGAATAAGATATAATCATTTTTCCAGATATAAGTTTTTTGATAAATTTTTGTTAATAAATATAAAATTAAGAGAATTATTCGCTTACCAATTAGAGTTTTTTAAACGAAATCTAGGTAGGTAGATACCTCAATTTCAAATTTGTTGAAATGCACAAATAAACTAAGTACATTCAAATTTAAAATAATTTAATGTAAGTGCAAGTACATGTCTAATGTTCTAACGAAAAAAAAAATCTGCCATACACCAATCTCAGGTAATAAAACGTCGCTTTTTAATAGACGTTAATTTTTAATATAGGTATAAGGTTCACTTCTACAAGGTCTCATACATAATTATCCATATTAATTTTATGTAACATTGAAATCACATTAATAAATCTTGTCGCAAAACGAGTACGACTCGAAATTAATTACCCAACCAAACAACTTCCACAATTCACCCCCTAATCAGGCTTCTTGTAATTTCCCCGCATGCATCTATCTATCAATATGCTGCTATATGCAGGATGACTGTCCATTTCGCCTGATGGGCCGCTCGACTGGAATGCCTCCGAGCCGTTTCAATAGAGATGATATAGCCGTATTTTAATTCGATATTTTTTTCGAACGTCAGTCCATATCCAGTAGCACTTTCGAATCGAAGCGTAAAGTTATTAGTCTTTTATTCTTTACGCATCTATGTATATTGCATCTGGGCTCGTTTCGAAGCGACCTTGACGGCTGTTCTGATGAACATCTATCTACAGGGTCATACTTAAGTACACGAACAAATTGGTGCATATAAATTTGTGCATAATAAATTGTCTAAAGATAGAGAGTTTTTACAAGCATCAGTGTTGTATTGTTTGGTACACCCTCGTAAAAAATAAATTGATACTTATTTAATAGTTTTTGTCTAGTATTGAAAATCGTGTTTCACGGAGTAGCCGGTGAACTAGTGTGGGAGAGAATCGGTCGTGGAATCGAGAAAGGATTTGTTTAATTCTTTTTTTTTTCGCCGATTCGAGGATATGACGAATCCGATTTTTCGACTGTTTTATTATAATAATGGATCGCTCGAAATTCCTCCTATTTATCAATGGAATGTGTGTACTCTACTTATCAAAAACGTGTCACAGATTAACGACTGTGGTGAATTGGGGCTTTCAAGTTGTTGTTTTTTTAATAACTGTTCTCTTTTACAGGCGGTTTGTATTATATCCGGTTTGCAATTATTCGAAGAAATTAAAAAAAAATGAATCGCTATACAGAGACTTATATTTATGTACATATATTAACACTCGAACATTTTCTAATAACATAAGCAATAAATTGGAGGAGCAAAGAGCCGAGGAAACGACCCGTGGAGGATTCTTCTTCGAAACAAGCCCCATTCAGTACAATAGAAACACTGGTAGCCCGTCGTAAATTCGTCTCTTCTGCGACCGATCAGCAGTTCCGGCTAAAAATGGTACTGACAGCTACCGGGACCCGTTGAAAAATCCGTGACACATCGGAGATTTTTCGCTCTACATGGGCCCCGGAGCGCTCATTCAGACAGTTTGCTGACAAATAATAATGTCAATAAAACGGCGAGAGGTCGCATTTTCGCATTGTGCGAGGGACTTTGTTTGAATGTTTTAAATAGGCATGATGAGGTTTCTTAGAGGTGGATAATTTGTTACCGGAAAGTATATGGTACCTGTAGAATTGTTGGGATTGATGATAGCGATTTTAAGAAGGTACTTATAGGTATACTAAGTAAAAATATATCAAAGTTTACTTATGTATAACTGATGGCGATTGGAAAGGCCGCTCTACAGAAATTCTGGTAGCGCTTCATTAAAAAAATAAATTGGATTTTTTTATGGACGTCCTGTCGCAGCTCGAACCATTCCGCGTCTTAGATTGGCTCGGTATAGAAGCGATTATCGAAAGAAAAACTAACTGCTACCTCATTTTTCATTGAGTCAACCGGCGAGGAGGACGAGATGAAAAAAACAACAAATAGGGAGGGATCTGAAGAGAATCGCCGCCGACCTTTTCGATATTATCATCTATGAGCCTTCGATTCGACGGTTTTATACAGATAAGTGCAAATTTGTACGCACAATATGGGCATATATGAAGAATTGCAATCAAATTTGCACTTATCTGTATAATAAGCGATTGAAGAAATTCGCTCCGGAGGACTCAATCCTATTATTTTTGGGAACAAAATCTTTTATTTGGTCAATTGATAGACTATAAGATTGATAGGTTGATTACAAACAGTGTAGGAGAAATTATAACTATTGCGTTATTTAAGTTGTTTTGTAATTATTTAGTAACAATTCGAAATAACTTACATTTTCTCAATCAATCGTAAAATAGTTAGAAAGTTGTGTTGAAACTGGATGAATTTCATCCTGAATTTTTGTTATATCTTTCAGAATTTTTGTTACAAATTCTGCTAAGTAAAGGAGAAAAATTAGAGCCTGGTAGCTAAAAAAATTGTTACAATTGTCTCAAAAAAAAATCGAGATTATTTCATTTTTTCCGATCAACGTTAGAGTCATCCAGTATCCAATTCGGACCTTTGTTTCTTTTTTTTTTCATTCGCTTTCATTTACTAGACTAGATAAACTCGTTGTACAACACAATGGCTCCTTCGAGCACCTCATTATCGTCGCCATCGCCTATAGAGAAATTGTTTTTGCTTAAATTGATGTTTCCTAACCGTCATGACTGTCGAAAAAACGCGGTGTCGCTCTTAAATAGCTTTCGAACAATAGGAACACTCCGTTGTAAGCGCGCGGGGTGTTGCTCGATATTGGTTTTTAAATGGGGTGGTTTTTGGGTTTTTTTTTAATTAAAATTCGAACGGCGATGTAACCGTTTATTTAACGAATTAGGAGATACTGCTAAATTTCTATTTTTATACGTTATTTTTAAACTAATTTGAGAGGTAATTTGTTTTGAAATATACTGCTCCACAAAAGTTAAGGAAGTTCACAAATATTGAGATGAATTTAAAAGTTGCAGGTTTTTTGATCGCCAAATTAAGTATGAGTTGTAGAGGTAGGAACAAAAAATCATTTAATCAGAAACATTTAATTTAGAATATTTGAAAATTTGGTGATCAAAAAGTCTGTAACTTTTAAAATAATCGCAAAATTTGCAAACTTCCTTAACTTTTGTGGAGCAGCTTATATGTATAGGAACTGGAATGCATCCACCAACTTTTATTAGTCCAATAAATAGGAGAAAATCTATGTAATCAATAGTCTTTTGCATGGAAAAAGTAGGTTATAAAAACCAATTAATGATTGCACAAAAATATATCTGAAAAAAAATGCGGTGAAAAAACGGAAGGACTCCTGCAATTAGTTCATTCGCCGGAAATCGAAAACAAACGACAATTTATCGACTATGTATACGTCTTGTGAAGCGTGTCCTGTGAATTACACAACGCTAACGCTATTGAGGACATTGATTAATTAGTATTTCGTGATAGTTTTATAGTAATTTCTATACAAACATGCACAAGAGTATATAAAATAACTAATTAAAAATTGCACAAAAATAAATAAGGGTCGTATATAACGAATAGTATTCATCAGGCGCTGTCCGAGAGCAGTAAATAAACAATAAATAAGTCAAACCGGAATTTCTGATTATTTGCGTTAAATCTATCAAAACGAAAGTCAACTATCCCCAATCGGGCCGTTTATTGACCAATAAACGAAACGACAAACAAAACTCGTAAAATTCGAGAAATTTTCGAGAAAACGGATCCCGAACGCACAGTAGGAAGCGAACGTTGACAAGTCACTTAGACGAAAAATTTATTACTTTACAATAGACCTCAATAGAGGACCGTAAAAGACTTACCGGGTTTCCGAAATTGTATTTTGGGTAAATTATCTACCCATAAAACGCCCCCGTTTCGGGCATTCAGCATCAGACTGTTCGCTTTTCATCAACAAATACTCGAAGCATTTTTACATATACAAGGCGTTTTACACATATACAGTGTGACCAATTAATTACCGATTAGTCACACTGAAGTTTTCATACAATCTGCTAAAGATTAGGAATTATGATGGGAATGATATAGAGTTATAACCCCGGTGCAAATTGCGATAAAACTCCGGTGCCCGGATATTACCTACGGGGGGATTTCGCAATTCGGTGTTCGCTCGACTTTCCGAAGCGTGAATATTTAAATTAGTTTTTATTCGTCGGGCGACTTTCACCCGGCGCGAAGAAAAATCCATTGTTCGAATTGTCATGAAATTCACGGCGGCTTATCGACGGCAAAAATTAGTTTTTCATTTCGAGTTCATTCATTAAACGCGCGCGGTAACGGTTGCATAAGTTATTTCGTCCGATGGGAACTCACGTTTCTTGTTGTGATATACCATTTTTAGAAGAAAAAAAAACTGCTATTAAATCTCAGTCTTATTTCGTTTTTATGGCGTTGAGGAAGTTGGATTTTTTTATGCTATCACGAAATTCGCTGAGATAGAATTTAATACAATATATTTTTATGTATTAGGTACTTCGAAATCCAAGTATTAGATAGGTAAATAATATAAACTAATTTAAAAAATATAATAGGAATTATATCTAATTTTTTTCATAAACAGTAAGTACCTGTGTGTGGTTTGAATTTTTATTATACAAAAATTTGTATAGCCAATTCTTTTAACGTTTGCGGTGTATCTAATAATAAGTGAATGAAATTTTATTATTGCGAAAGAATAAAACCAACTTCCAATCATATTTAAAATGAAATTATAACCGCGGAGATCCCATCGGTTATTAAACAAAAATTCCCACCGATATAAGAAAACCTAATAAAAATGACACGGTAGTTTTGTGAACAAAGAGCACAAAAATCCGGCATTTTTTATTTTTTCCTCATCCTATCCGTTCGTCGAGCTTTTTTCATTACCGATCCGAAAAATTCCTTCATGTCGCTGGAAATATCATAACTCGAAGATGATTCTCCTCGTCGCGCGGCTTTTTATGAGTTTCCGAAGCACTACCAAGATGGCAATGACACAGCATTGCTCTAGAAATCATGACCATTGAGAGGCCATTCTGAATATCACGAAACAATTTCGGTTTTTTTACCCGGCTTCGAATTGATTGAAAAGGCATGGGAACGCGATTTTTGTACGAACTCTCCGTCAATGAGCGACGACGGGACAGAAAAACCGGAATTTCATTATTATACAACATTCTTCGATTATGAATCGAATGCTACAAGGTGATCCTCATCACCCTTCTGGGTATACAGG